ATACAGCTGATTTCTTTACTTAAATTTCAGATTTTTCCTACTTCTGTAGAAATTGCTGTCAAATAGTATTAGATTTTAATGCACATTTAAATTTTTTTTTGACTTGGCTATCAAAGAGCTGATCCTAAATTCTTAAATCATGGATTCTCATACTTTTTCATAGTGCGGACTACTACTTAATAGAGAGATTCTTGTGGACCCACCTCCTCTACCATTCACAACTTCACAGACAACCTCACTTCCCTATTGCAGTCCTATAACATTTGTGCTAACTACAGCAATTGCTTACATACTGGAGTAGTACTGGGGAAGTATTTAATGTGCTTTTAGCTTGAATGCAATTTAGCAGCTGGAAAAAAGGAGTAGAACCAGCACCAGGTGACCAGTGAGCTCTAGCTGCTCTCGTCCCCTAAGGCCCCTACTCTACTTGTGCTACATTGATGACATCTTCATCATCTGGACCCATGGAAAAGAAGCCCTTGAGGAGTTCCTCCATGATTTCAACAATTTCCATCCCACCATCAACCTCAGCCGGCACCAGTCCACACAAGAGATCCACTTCCTGGACACTATGGTGCTAATAAGCGATGGTCACATAAACACCACCCTATACCGGAAACCTACTGACTGCTATACTTACCTACATGCCTCCAGCTTTCACCCTGACCACACCACACGATCCATTGTCTACAGCCAAGCTCTACGATACAACCGCATTTGCTTCAACCCCTCAGATAGAGACATCACCTACAAGATCTCTATCAAGCATTCTTACAACTACAGTACCAACCTGCTGAAGTGAAGAAACAGATTGACAGAGCCAGAAGAGTACCCAGAAGTACTACAGGACAGGCCAACAAAGAAAATAACAGAACACCACTAGCCGTCACCTTCAACCCCCAACTAAAACCTCTCCAGTGCATCATCAAGGATCTACAACCTCTCTTGAAGAACGACCCATCACTCTCACAGATCTTGGGAGACAGGCCAGTCCTTGCTTACAGACAGCCTCCCAACCTGAAGCAAATACTCACCAGCAACCACACACCACACAACAAAAACACTAACCCAGGAACCTATCCTTGCAACAAAGCCTGTTGCCAACTCTGTCCACATATCTATTCGTGGACACCGTCATGGGGCCTAATCACATCAGCCGCACTATCAGAGGCCCGTTCACCTACACATCTACCAATGTGATATATGCCAGCAATGTCCCTTTGCCATGTACATTGGCCAAACCGGACAGTCTCTACGTAAAAGAATAGATGGACACAAATCAGACTTCAAGAATTATAACATTCAAAAACCAGTAGGAGAACACTTCAATCTCTCTGGTCACTCGATTACAGACCTAAAAGTCGCAATGCTTCAACAACGAAAACTTCAAAAACAGACACCAACGAGAGACTGCTGAATTGGAATTAATTTGCAAACTGGACACCATTCCATTAGGCTTGAATAAAGACTGGGAGTGGATGTATCATTACACAAAGTAAAACTATTTCCCCTTGTTTATTCCCCCCCCACGGTTCCTCACATGTTCTTGTCAACTGCTGGAAATGGTCCACCTTGATTATCACTACAAAAGGTTGTGCACAGCTGCCAGAGGCAATTGCTTTAGTGACTTATCTATAGTTATTCATCTCTGATTATAAATCTTCCACTAAACAACATATTTGGATGTGTCATTCATTTGTACGGACCACTCTTTTGGTTTATCTCCTTATTTGGCATTTGCTAATACTGAACATATTCAAGAGACAGGTTTGTTAGTGTAAAATGGGATTTTCAAAAGCCCGTACATGGCTTAGGAGTACAAGTCTCATTGATTATTTTCTGTGGGACTTGCTCCTAATTCATTGGGAACTTTTGAAATAATACCGTTAGCGGTAATACTGTATTTTTTTTCATGTCTCCGGACACTTCATATAGGCCCCAATACAGCAAGGTATTTAAGCACCTGTAATGTACATAGATTTTATATACAGTGTTTGTGAAGCATCCACCTAACATTTTAGCAATGCCCATGAAGTCCTTTCCAAAGATTAAATTATTCAGAATTTTGAGTGGTTACCTTTGAAGTTATATTTTACATTTTTTAATTTGATTTTTGATAATTTATACTCATGTTGGGACATCCTTTATTTTTTACAGTGGAAATCTAATTGTTCAGAGTATTTTCTGGAATGCATTTAAATTTATAAAAAGCATTAATTAAAATTAAATTTAATAGTTCTTAGAAATAGTTGCTAATTAAATTAATTTAGATTAAAGCAAAATTGTTTTTTGACAAAAGATAGGTCTGTCCAGTGACACAAAAAATTGTTGTTTGCTCCTCACACAATTGGCAATACAAATATTGCAGTTAGATTATGGGTTTAGTTTAAAATAATGAAGTTTTATATCTTTAAATTTTTTCTAAATTCTCTAGAATCTTGCTGCAGGTAAAAGTTCCCTTCAAAATCAATAGCAGATGCAAAATACTTATAACTTTTATCTTTGGTTCCTGCTATACAGAAGACCTGAATTTGAGTCCTAAACCCAGTCTCTCTTTCAGGGAGTTGAAGATTGGTAGGGGGAGTGAACTGGAAGTGAGGAGGAGGCATGTTTTCTTAAATGATCTAGTGTTTGGAACGGAGTTAATGGTCTCCAGTTGGAGATTTGACCTACCTTCCTTGGCTAAAGAGCAGGTCATTGTATTGTGGGACTCAAAGGTGATGTTGAGGAAGAAAGTGGGAGAGCAACCCAGAGTACCCCTTTTCTCCCCCACAAAAGCACTTCATACTTAATGATAAACACACCTTCCAACTTCAAAGAAGGGCAGGGGAAACCTGCTTTGGCAAATTATTGTCCTTTCTGTAAATGGATGAACTCCTGAAACAAGTTGATCCCATATGTGATGGTGTAGGCAGATTGTTTAATTGCAGCTGTAGATGGTAAAGCAAACATAGAAGTTGAATGGCATGTATGTGAATGTTACTTCATTTACATGAATTTAAAAAACAGAAGATAGAGAAGTGGTGGGAGGAGGTGAGCTGTTTCTTCACCCTAGCAGAGGACTTTATTTAGTGAGTAATTGAAGAACTATAGCTAGGATTTCAAGAAGCACATAATTATATTCAGAGCTAAAATGTGTAGGCAGCAGAAAACTGCTTTTTTTTTTTTTATCCTGGTAAGGCATACTTGTAATTTTGGGTCTAAATGTGGTACATTATGGCAGTAAGAGGAATTGTATATTTTGTCATTCCTGACATTACACATTGTTTTTTCACTCTATAACAATCTAACCTGCCTAGATATTTCTAGGTATCATTGTGGTATCTGAACATTAAAAATAGCTGACTACAAAAAGTTTTCAGAGTTTTGAAGATACATTGTCAAAAATTAGTTATTTCCAAAGTTAGACATTTATCATGTTTAGAACATGATACTCATGTTGGGACATCCTTTGGAACTGGGTGAGTAAATAGTATGTGATTACGATCTCCCAGTATATTTTACATGTAGAAACAGCTAATTCACAGGAAGGGGAGCTCTGCTAATATTTGCTATCATGGTAGATCTCTGAACATAAATGCTTTCTCTTTTTTGTATAATCTGTTATTGCTGATGAAAAGGCCTTCTTCCAACACATAGATCCAACAGATATAATTACAATCCATGAATAACAAGAAGAAACATTCCTTTGGGCCTCCAAAAACAGAATAGGCAATCCTCTTGTGAGCTTAAATAAAATCTAATGATATTGGTTTCTGGTTTGGGTTGGGTTTTTTTTTTTTTTGACTACAGGTAAGATATGTTGGTAATTTTGACACTTGCCAGGAACAATCCAGGATTTTTGTACATGCATGATTTTTGTATGTGGCTGACTTTTATCATTTGCAGTGCTTACCTGAGAGAAGAATCCATTCCTTTGATTCTATGTCAGTTGAAATGCCAATCTTTCCATGATGAAGTTAATATACACTGACAAATCAATAGCTGGTGAATAATGTTGGTTAATTGCAGAGATGAAAGTGGGTGGGAAAAGGACAAAACACCACATGTTAGACAGCAGAAATATGGGAGATTTGTTGCTAAGTGTTGTATAGCAACTCATTCTACACGTAGAAGGTATGATAAAGCGGACGTCCTCCCTGAGAGGAGATGGATTCACACTCCCACGGGAAAGATATGCAAAAGTGAAATTGTTCCTTAGATGCTGTGGATGACGAAAATATGCAAATAACACCAGAACAAACAGGTATAGGAAACACCAACATACAGTTTTCATGTAAATCAATTTGAGGAATATCTGTCTAGCTAAATGTGTTGTTAATCCACCCATCACCCAGTTGTACCTAGGCACCTATAGGTCAAGTCCTTTTTGACTGCAGCTTCCATTAAGAAACTCAGGTATTTCAGAAGAAATGTAATTTCATGAGAAATGTTCTTTAAAATTATCTAAAAAATACTTGTTCATATGTCATAACCATGCCGATGTAGAATACATGAGAAGTAGGAATGAAGGGCTCTTATCTCAGTTTGGAGAGATTTGCATGTGTAACTGCCTGCACATAGCGAGATTTTATATGTGTAGTCTTCTGTGCATTTCAAGAGACATAACAAGTAATATTTCAGTGCAGCTCTGATTTAATGTTTATGGGGTTTTTTTAGTGGTCTTAACGTGATCTTTAAGACTTGATAGCACCTTGTGTGAAGGCTTTGCAGTAACCTGTTACATGCTATATGTCAGGGCATCTGAGTTCAAAGCTCACTTATTAGTTTCCAGGCTCGCAGAATTTGGAAAAGTCGTATGTCTCTCTTCCTCCCCACCTCACCCCAATCCACTGCGTAACTCCTCCTTTTATTTCTTCTTGATATGACTTTTCTGTGAAGGAGAAAATCCACAAAGAAGCCAGCAGGTATCTAAGATCCAGAAAGGCCAGTGGATTTGGAAAAAGACCTGATGGCTCATCATTTTCTCAGTTACAGAAATTGTGTGATTCCAAAAATAATGAGGCTTCCAACATTTTAATGAGAGTTTCTTACACTGTCGTTTTTTTGTAGAAGACAAGTATTTTTTTAAAAAAACAGCAATATTCCATTCTTACAACCAAGACCAATATTGTTACAATATTAAAATGGTTCAATTTTCATTTAAATGTAGTGACTGATGTAAATGTGTTTGTCTCTCTCTCTCTCTGTGTGTGTGTGTGTGTGTGTGTGTGTGTGTGTGTGTGTGTATACATACACACACAAAAATTAAAATGAAGATAGCAGTAGTTTCGATAATTAGGACACTTTAATCTGTAGTTTGTGCTTGTGACAAAAGACCCTGATTTTTCTATGGACAATATTCAAAAATAAAGTGAAGCAGTGAATTTTGTTTTGATGGATTCTCTGAGATAAGGTAATACAGATGAGGAGGATAATATGCGTGACTTCAGATTTGATGAAGCGTTGATGTGAACATTACAAACGAGGAAAAAAATCTTCATCCTAGTCCTATATTACATTAAGACAAACAAAAAAATCAATGCCTGAAACGTATGTTAGAACAGAAAGCATATACAGTCCTGTGTATAGCACAGTAGTTCTTAGCAAAGTTGTCAAATGGCTATATTTGGATGGTAAATCAATAACTTTTTTTCTGCATCTCCACATCAATGTGTTGTAATGAGTTTTCCCACTGTTGTGGCAGCTTCATTATTTAAATGGGAACACCTAGCATATGACAGCAAAGTAGCTATTCTCTGATAATCGAGTTATCTCTATTCTTCCTAGTCTGATAACGTTTCCTGATAAATTGTCATTCATACATGTATAATGCAAACTAAAGGCCCCTTATTAGTCAGTTTTTAGTAATCCTGTTGATGATTAAATATAAATCTGACTAAAATGTATTCTTCCACATCAAAGTCTTGTCATAAAAATATTTAGAGTATAAACCTTCAATACTCAGCAGGGCATTCTACATACCTATATTTTACTGTTAGTAGCAGGCATTTTGTTCTATATTTGTGCAATTTTCAGTTATGTTTTTATACAGCACTACTAAATTAAACTTCTGATTGCTCATTACTGTCAGGAATGACTGACTTTAGGGCAGCATGACAAAAACGACTGAACGTTGTCATTTTAGTTTTCTGTTCAACATACAACCGTAATTTGTCTCTAAAAGTTTCACCTAGAAAACTGTAAATCAGTGGGTTCAAACAACTGTTAGAAAAGGCTGCTAGGTTTACAATATGTCCTGTTAGGGGATAATCATGCCGAAAAGATTGGTTGCCTGAAGAGAGAGTCTTTCCTTTCTCTTGAAGAAGCTGAACGCTAATGAAGACATTTTCAGGTAGCCAGCAAATAAAGAAAACCAGGACGACTACAAAAATCATTCGAAGAGCCTTTTGGCGCCGTAGTCGAAGACTCCTGTGTTTGTGTGCTTTTACAAGAACTCGAACAATTAATGAGTAACAAAGACCGATGATCACAAAGGGGATTATAAACCCCAAGGTTATTTCTAACCACTGGATTTCTTCTACATCTGCAAAACAAAAGTAGACCTCTCCAGTGTGCTGCAAATGTACAGCTGTAAATGGCACTAGTGCTGCAGAGATAGATGCCATCCATATGAGGCCACAGCTTAATCTAGCATGCTGCATTGTACGAAATATGTTGGACCTCATTACTTTTGCAAGTGCTATGTATCTGTCAAAACTCATCCATGTCAAAAAGAAAATGCTGCTATACATGTTGATCTGAAGGAACAGAGACATGAAAGTGCAAATTATAGTGATATCATAATACTTTTCATCAAGATTAAAAACCTCAATGAGGGAGTCAGCAACTAAAATCAAATCCGCTACTGCAAGGTTTATGAAGTACAGGTCAGGAATAGTCATCTTTTCCCGAAAACTTATGTTCACAACTAAAATCAGAATGTTTCCCACAAAGCCAATAGGGAAAAGGAAAATAGTGTAAAGGCATGATAAGAAAAGCCCAATAATGTATTGTTGGTGTTCTTCTGATTTATCAGCCAAGATAGAAGACATGCTTTCATTGCATAAATGTGATCCATTTAGTTCAAAAGATGTGCCGTTACAAATAAATGGTGATACTGCTCCTGTGTAAGATTCCATGGTTAGGATCTCTGCTGGAAAGATTACATCGGTATTCACGCTTTGACTTTCAGTGCCAAAATGGTTAAACTGTTGGGATTTCCACAGAGGTTACAACAAGCATTTTAAGGATTTGGAAAGAGGTTTACTTTTTTTTGTATAAAATGTTTAAACTGTTTGGAAATGGAATGGAAGGCCAAACCAAGTAGGCTTGAAATTAGCTGAAATTTATCAGTTACAGAAAAGTAAACCGTTTAAGAAATTTGCTATTTGTAAGATGCCATGCACAAGGCAAATGAGAAAATTAATGTTTCAGATCATGTAGGACCTTTCTGAACTTAATGGTAGTTGAATTGCACGTACACAAATGTTTCTTCACAAATGTTCCTTCTTGCAGATTGGAAAATGGCAGAATTTTAGGTCTGTTTGTTCCTTTTAACAATTACTGAATATCCTTGGACCTGCAATTAGTAAATGAAAAATTATTAAACTCATGCCTAGATGATTTATTTTAACTTTTTTAAAGCTCGGGCATTCTATGGTATATGGATTGTGGGTTTACACTTACATACACAACTGATTGTATGTTTAGGAACATGATGCTTGAATACATATAAACAAATGTTCAGCAAAAAAAAGCATTTAATGTACATGAGAGAGAGAGTATTAGGAGCAACCTGATCAGATGTGTGCTAATCAGGAACTCTTAACATTGATAAATATGAGGGGGGGATAAATCAGTGAAGCTGACCCATGAATCTCTGGAGTAGAAGAGAGGAACTTTCCTATGTATCATATTCCTTGTTTTCCTAGTCAAATAGCAAGCTTATTAAGTAGCATAGGCTTTGGCTGCAAAAATGTTAGAAAAAATCTAGACAGATGGTACCTTGGTACCTTCTGCTTGCAGAGAAAGAGACAGAAGGAAAAGACATCTTTTAAAACCTCAAGATAATGTGAATTTGTATTAATTTATACCATCTTCATGTTTAACCTTATTTTCTTTGCAATAAATTATACTGCATTAACTTCCATAATGGGAATGGAGTTGAAAACAACACACGAGCGTGAAAAATAAGAACTTTATATAAATGTAATTTTATATGTAAACTTGAAATCTTGGCAAAAGTTTCCAAGTTTAAAAAAAAAAGGCAAGAAAAAGGTCAATTTGAATATTTTTAAAGTTGATTTTACCTAATTTTGTTTTAAAAATAATAAACCTTTTAGTAGTAAGATGATTACATTCTGTTCTGTACTATAAAAATGAAAATGTATACCTGTAAAAGACATGCAAAGATATGCTTGGGTAAATACATAAATTAATAGATGCTTTATCTTTTTATTATTTTTAAATCTTAGTGATTTAAAATACTGGTGGTGCACATTCCCAGGAGAGAAAATGATCAGGCTATTAGAACTGGACAGAATTAAAATATCTTCTATTATGAAATTTATTTTTTGACTTAATGACTTAAAAATCATTCCAGCTATTGCTAGTAGTTAGCAGAATATATTTTGAGGCATTATTGCAATGCAAGTGTTTGTTCATACAAAAGCATTTTTATGAAATTTTGTTTATCAGAGGTCATTCTGATTTTTCAATTAGAGATCTAAACATGCCATATATATTTGAATTGTTGCCTTTTTCTGAAATATTCGTAATAGAAACAATTTTTGTTCTTGAATAAGGTGATAAACTGCTTCAGATGCAATGAAGGGAAAATTAATGTTTTAAAAAATTAATGTTTCAGAAAGGTAGATCTGTAAAGATAATCTAACTATGCATAAAAATCCATCAAAAACCAAACCAATACCTTCAACGATTACATTGTTTGTAGCTATGTAAAGTGTTAGAATTTACCTTTGATTCCTGTGTGTCCATCCACAGTCATTTGTTCGGATCTGATTTTCTTCCAAACACCATAAGGCTGGTTTATATTCAGATACACTGTTAGTGGATATGTTAAATTCAGCTATACCAGTAGTCAAAACTTTTAATGTTATTTAGGTGATACCAAGCTGCACTGAATGTCACCTGTTGAGCAATTCAGTAACAAAAAATCCATATAAAAGCATATTCTGTTAAATAAATGACTGTCATTGTTTTGCAGCAAATGCAGATCTTACTGCAGATCCTTGGTAATAAAACATGGCTTTATAGATTCCCAGGGTCCTTCTAATTTGTGTTCATTTGAAGTGGTGTTGAACAGGCTTCCTTAGGCTAGAATTAACCCCATTTTTGCTGGTTCCTTTTCTTTACCAGTACTAGACATTAATCTTTTCCCTCATATCTATCAACTATCTTTATGATGCTTAATATAGCTTTCATTTTACCCTTCCCTTGTTTTTAAGGGAGGATAAAACTGTAGATTCAAATGCTCATTCAGCACCAGTTCAAATATTAATTTTGAGTAGCAGTGAAACATATTTTACTGTGCATCTATAGCAATAGTTCAGTTTATCTAAGAGTTTAAAAGACTTTCACAGTCCAAAGAGAAATATTAGAACTTCAGAAAAATAGTAGTCTAGTTAATGAATGAGTTGAAAACTTGACTAAAATTTTCCGATCCTCTTTGCGAGTCCTATTTCTCTGTTAATCCTTTGCATTTCATTTTCCATATGCACATGTATCCTCAACTTGACTCTGCTTAGTTGTTCTGCTTAAAACCACCTATATGAAATAAGCTTAATGATGCAGTTGATTTGGAGAATCAGTCTTGCTTCCAAACCCCAGTATGGCAGGTGGAGTTTTGCATTTCCTCTCCAGGGGAAGAGAGCTTAGCTGACAGTTGCACAAACACTACCTGCTGGTTGTCAGAATTGTTCTATCATAACTGGAAAGAAAGTCTTAGAACATTCTAAAACCAGATAAATGTTTTAAACCCTTATTTCTCATTTGAAAGAACAAAACTAAAGTTTATATGCACAATGTTTGGAGCTGTTTGTTTTACTTCTGTTTTTATATTTATGGTATGACTTTTATTGTAAAATGCCTCTCATTGCTCCACTTCTATACAGTATTCTGTAGCTACTCTCCTAAGGTAGGCTGCAGAAGGTCTTGTTAAGCATGTATCCTTGTGTTCAGGATTTTCAGAAGTTCAGATTACAGGTTCAACTTGGGATAGAAGTAGTCAGCCTGATGCCTTTTTTACATGTTTACAAAACATTGTTAAAATTCCCTGAGTTGTTTTGGTGTCTTTGTTATTATATTTTATTTTATTTTAAGTAACAGAGGAAAGAGATTTGTTTTCTTGTGTAAAACTTGAGTAAAAGGGCTTTGCACAGAGAAGGTAAGTGGATGATGGGCATTTCTTAGCCCCGTTGTAGCAAAAACGCTGCCTCCCTGTGTTGTGATCAGTTATAGAGGGGACAGCATCACCAAAATAAAGGTTCTGTTTAAGGCGTTTGTTTTCCAAGTTCTAAACATCAGTTGGCTTTATATTAAAATACATAATTTTGTAAAAAGTAGTAATTCTTTTGGCATTTTGGAGAAAACAAACATTTTTTTAAATGGCCAAGATATTTTTTTGAAACTCGCCATTAAGTAGCTTTTTTTCATAAAGCAGAAAAAAGTCAAACACAGCATTGTTTTATTATAATTTTATGAGTTCTATATTCATTACAAATTTTTTGTAGTCTGAAGGGGTTATGCTCTACTGAAGTTTCTCTGAACTTTTCTCAAAAAAAAAAAGGTGAAAACATATTCAAATATGAATGTAGATTTGTTTGTCCAGCTATAACGTCAATGTTATTGATTAATCTAGTGGCATTTTAGCATTAAGCCTTGCCATGGTAAAAAGGGATATAAAATGGTTCAAACAAATTTTTGTGGCTGATGAACATTGTACCCCTTCTATCTCCTTAGCTTTGCTGATATTCCAGACACATTCGATAGTAAAGGGTATCTTAACAACCCATGTTAAATGACAATCATGCCATTATTGGAGTTTATGGTACTTCCTGACGTAAGTCATCAACTTTATTGTCGCTAAGAATGCACTTGATAATTACTGGTACCTCTGTATAGGGATATGTGAGACTGAGAATAGAAGTAGTTGCTTAATTGTGATTTTTTTTCAAGGGGCTTATTTGTGACTATATAACAATTGAGTGTTTTGATTTTTCAGTCAAGTATGTAATGGTATTTAATAATTTTATTTATTTTTAACATACAGGATTTAGTGACTGCAATTCCTATGTGCTCTCATGTGTTAGTAATAGTTTTACAGATTAAATATATAAGAGCAGCCGTCACTCCCACATAATTTGGCAACAGCAGCCTCATTCCTCTATCCCCGCCATTATGGTGCAGAAAGAGTGGGGCTTGTAATTGAAGTAGGAGCCTAAGTGAGAGCAGGGCAAGGAGGACTTCAAGCAGTGCAACCCACCTTCCATGCTACCAGCAAAGCAGCCTCTCCTGCTGGCTGCAGATCGCGGAGGAGCCTGCTAGAGCTTCTCAGGGATGTATGAGGTGAAGGCTGCTAGAATCTGCCAAGAGAAGTGTGAAGGCTGGTCTCCACTACGGGGATATCGATGCTGCTGCAATCAATGCAATGGGGGTTGATTTAGTGGGTCTAGTGAAGACCCGCTAAATTGATGGCAGACCCTGGTACTCCAGCTCCCCAAGAAGATTAAGATAAGTCGACAGGAGATCATCTCCCATTGACACAGCGCAATGAAGATACTGGGGTAAGTCGACCTAAGCTATGTCGACTCTAGCTACGTTATTCACATAGCTGGAGTAGCATAACTTAGATCGACCTACCCCCATAGTGAAGACAAGCCCTGAGACAGCACTGGGAGCTGTGCAGTAGGTGAGCCTTGGAGGACAGGACTGAGATAGCAGGGGCTGGAGCATTCCCAGATGGAAGGGAAGCTGTACCCAGTGGAAAGAGGAGCAAAACTGTTAAGTAAATATAAAAGCAGCATACAGAAAAATTGGAATTAGTAATAGTGTTCTATAACTTTGCTGAAATTAACAAAGTGTTAAATCTGTAGAAAATATAAAGTAGGATGTTTATCTTTCTGATATAATTGAAATGCATAAGCTCAGTACATAGTTTATTTTTGGATGTAGATTGTTCTCTTCTTCCCCAAATTATCTTCCCCCTCCCCCATCTTTCTCCTGACAAACACTACTTTTACCTTCTTTTTTAAAAAAAAACAAACAAAACCCTTAGGTGACATCCTTTCCCTTTGGACTCACTCGCCACCCTTTCCCCAACCCCAGGCAGTCTCTGGTAATTTCCCCCAGTTACTAACAATGATCTTGATCTGAGCTGGAGTGGGTAGCTGTTTTCCATGCCTCTTGGAAGTATTGAAAGCCTCTAATAGTGTGTATTTTATGGATCAGCTTTTTCCAGAATTATTGGCAAGCGAATACATTTCTCTTATTAGCAATTTTAAAAAATTGAATCTGTTCTCAAATGGAGACCATCTGGATCACTGGTAAATTATTTTTGTAAAAATTTTATTTTTGTTAAATTGTGTTACAAAAAACTGGGTTTAGTATCCTAGATTTTTAAACTTCAAGAAAAAAGACACACAACATTAGAACTCTATAACTAATCATCCATTTCACATTGCAATCAGTATAAAAATAGAATAAGAAATTAAAAAACTAACCCAATCCACCGTCCAAAGAAACAGCAGTGCTTTCTGGAAATCCCAGTTGAGCCTGGCAGCCTTTGCTGGGTACATCAGTCTCATTTCTCAGACATGTCCCAGGTCTGAGGACATGTGTCCACATAAAACCCACCAACACAATTGGCATTAATTGGCCCCATTGTTGGCAAATCAGTGCCTAAAACTAAGGAATCAAGGGTAAAACCTATCCTTTCACCTATCCTTTCGTTCCAGGTCAGGTTTAGTCTTATTGGCAGGACATTGTGGGGAAATCTTCGTTGTTAGTGTCTGAGGTTTATGTGTTCTGTGACTATATAGAGGGCTTCAGGGCTCATCCTTGCTGCCTTGTTAGCTTGTAGTGTAATTCACGTTTTGCCTCCAACACAACTCATGCCCAGATTTAAAAATCTCTAAACTAAATTAAGTGGTACTTTTGATCCAGCTATTCCATCAATAGGTGTGATCTGAAGCTCCAGTGCTGCTGACTTTAGGAATGTAATAGGGGATGCAGCATCTTGAATCAGGCAACTGCTAATCCAGTCATTTTGTGCTTATAATTAAGTCACTCTGGAGCTCCAGTGGCTAGTTTGAGTTGAGTAACTTGCATGTACTAATTTGAGCTAAATGTTGCAGTGAAGGCAAGTCCTTAGCCTCTAGCGCTGCCATTCCAATGTATTTCATCAGCACTAAAATTCACACCCAAACACCCCAGCAATCAGCAGCCTATATCTCTTGCATTACAATGAAAGACAAAGGCTTTTTCCAGAGCAAACTGGGTGCCTAGGAGCATATGTACATATTTCATGTAGTATCCACTCTTGACTTTTTTTAATTAATGCCATTGGTTAATTTTTGGTGATATGGCCAGAAATAAATGTGGACTATTTCTCAGCAAATTAGGCGAGTCTGGCAGGAGAAAGGGTGGCTAACAGAGCTGTTGCTGGTAAGGGAAGGAAAGTGCACACTACCGTTTTGGTAAATAGGTTCAGCCTTTATCCCGTAGTGATAAAGTGATAACTTTAAAAAACATAACCATATAAACCTTAGCTGAAGTTTCTTTCCCTCCCTTGGCTGTTCCTACAGGACCAATTCTGTCCCAGTTCTTTCTAGTGACACTCCCACCCCCTTGTATCCTGTTTGGAACTAAATGGACCTTCCTGCTATTATGTCCCAGCAGTGATTACCCTGAATCTTAATGGAAGCGTCGAGCACCTGATCCTAGGATGACGTATATATTCCAATAAGGGGTTTTAGTCCACCACCCTATTACATACCTTCCAGCCCCTCCCTGGGCTCACCTTCATTTTCTCCTGTTCAACCCATGCAGGACCCAATTCCCAATCTCATGTTGCTGCCACTGAACCCAGTCGCCTCACTGCCTATGGTGTTTTCCTTGTCATGACCATTAGCAAGGGCCCAGTATGTGCTCTGGATTCCAGGGAAATGCTTTAGTCTCCCCTCCTGGCAAGAAGGCCATGGTAATAAGGGGGACAGAGTCAATTCATATGACTCCCAAATAGGGAAACAAAAGTCATGGATTCTGTCCAGGAGTCGCATGCTGACACAAGTGTAGTATCTCACTCTTGACAAAGACCTCCTAACTTACGTTTGGTCACTCCCAAATCTCTGAGGTCTTGTTCTGTCCCCCTTCTAGTTGTATTGGCACTGTGTTCCTGTCAGAAGCCCGCTCCTTGTGGCTTTAGTGAGACCACATATCTCCATGTAGTCACGCTCCAGAAACAGCAGGACTTTTTTATATGTGCAAGTTGGCCACTCTGGAAATTGACAATAGGTCAAAGGTGTTGGATCTTTATGGGCTTCTGGGCAAGCATCCTTTTTGGTTCCTCCCTTGTTCTTCTATGTGGAAGTTCTACCATCTGTCCAGCTGGATGTCCTCCTTTATTTTTAGGACAGGACAGTGGTTATCTCTAGTGGCTTAACTTCCAGTTAGTCCTCTTTGTGTGCCTGTACCAGGGTGCACTGACACCAGCTGTCCACACAAGCCTTCACCCTCTCAGGCAGACTTTCCAAGCACTGTTCCACTGTTATAAAATCCAACTGTTCCCTGACCATCTGGGTATTATGCCTGAGCCGGTGAGTTCCCAAGCCATCAAATACTGAGCAAAGGTATGGGGTTGCACCCCTGACAGAAAGAGCTCACTTCAAAACCTCTGCTGGTAAGTCTCCTATGAGACCTCCCAGTCAGTCCAAAATAAGTCCTTATAGTCTTGTAACCTATGGCCGCATGCCTGTCCAAAGCCTTGTATGAAGCTTGCACTGCCGTGTCAGAAAAAGGGGCAAGGGAGATTAAATGTATAGTTCATGATTCCTTGTCCCACTGAACTGCAGTAACTCCCCACTCAGAAGAAACCAGGTAAGCCTCATTTGCATCTGAAACTAGTAGTTATTGGACTTCAGCCTGTGCTGATGCTGCAAGGGGGCTTTCTGAACTGGCTGATAGTGTAGTTGCTGTTCTACCCTCCATATCAGAATTTCTTCCATTTTCCCTCTTTGTGCAGTGGGTATTAGGGTATCCCAACTCTAGGACCAAATGCTAGTCCCTACCCTGTTCTCAGCAGAGTACACAGAACCCGCATTAGAGTCCAAACTCTCCCCTCTTGGGATCTACCTTTATTTATAATTGTTTTGTTTTTTTAAACACCTTATGCTAAGATTCACTCTTCCTAGAGGCTTCACCTCCAGGGCCTTCACTACCCTAGGCCTTTATTTTCCTCTTGCTCAAAGAGACACTCTCACCTCCTTTATAATCTGGATGGAGCTAAATGGATCCATCTCTCTCAAAAGACTGCTATGTCCACAAGGGAAATGAAGGCAAAAAATCCCCTGACGGGCTCCAAGAGGGAGGGTGGAGAGAGGGGAGAGAATGTTCTCAGGTTCACACAGTATTTTTTTAAATTATGGAATACTGTACAATATATCGCAGTTCTGCCAATATCACAGTTTCAAGACATTTTTCACTCTTGGGCCATATTTTACTGCTATGGCCCTTCGAATTAGCCATTATTTGTGTAATAGATAAATATTGTCAGTCTCTAGTACACTAAATTCCAGTTGCATGGAAATACCATTGTGAAACCAGAATGTCTTTCCCTCCTGATTTTGTCTTTGGTAAAGATGCTTTTGCTGTGCTTTTGTTTAGTTCCGTGCTTGTGCATTGAAGTCATCAAGAAAGCATGCTGTTCTGGCAGACGTTAGACTTTTTGTTTTGGTTTAGAGAAATTCCAACATAAACCAGTTCTTTTCATTTTAAAATCCTTGACGGTAGGTCCCAAACAACATTTGTCTTCAGATATTTGTAAAGTAGGTCTAGTGTTGGGCCAAAACAGATGGACAGTTCTTGATAAAACAAGTGAAAAAGTTTCAATACTTTGTGGGGGGAGGGAAGTCAGTGAGACCCATTTTCACCACGTATCTCTGTTACTGGCATTTCAGGACGATTGTTGATAGTATCTTTTCTGCAGACTTTTGTGAGATTCATTAGGATTTTCAGTATTCCAGCCTGGCATGGTTTATGAAGACAAAGTATGAATATCAAACTAATGCAGTTCTCACTAAACAAGACTATCTCAGCAATATTCATCATTAGCTCATTCTTGGGAGTTCCAATGTTTTTGTGTATCTTTAATGTGGTCCTGGAGAGAATCATGATGTTGTAAAACAGACGGCATACAAACATTGTTATGGTTATAGTCAGCACAGCCAGATAAGTTCGAATATTCTCTCTTAGGGTTGGAGCTTCTGGTTGTGCTGCTTTAACAAAAAATAGAATAAAACAGAGTATCTGGAAAAACAATGGAATTCCAAACCCAAAGCTGAATTTAATAATCTCATATTCAGGCCATGCGAATAATGGATCTAACTGGCAGTCTGTTTCTTTGTGGTAGCTATCTGTGCCTAGCAATGCCACCACTACCAGTGATATGCAGAAGGCACATGTTAATACAAATCCAACACATAACATTGGACTTTGAGTTGCTTTGGTCATCAAAACAGTCCTTGGTGGGAATCTATTGAGTAAAAAAGCAAGAAGCATCAAAATTAGAAGATATTGAGAATTGAAATAACTCACATTGAAAAAAAACGACAGCGCTCCACACCCTAAGTGGGTTGCCATTAAATAGTGAGGTCTAGTTATGACAGTAAATGAAAAAAATATCATTACAATATTGCTGATGGTGAAATAAAAAAGAAATATGTCTAATTTTTCCAAGACACTATGCCGCAAATAGTTCTTTATGAAGATGGTCAGGATAAATATGCCAGCTGTTAAACCTGTTGGTACAAAGAAGGCAATGTAGCAGTGCATAAATCTTGATATGACATTTTGAGAAACTATGAGGTCTTCTATTTCGATGGATGGGTCAAAGCTCCGGCTTGGATATCTTATCCATGTCATGTTGTGAGAAATCATCCTTCTGTGTAAAGCTAATTCCTTTTTTATGAAGATTGAAATGGCAACCTAAAATGAAAGTAAAACACATCTTTAAAAATACAGTTTAAATGGTCCTTCATTCACATGTTTTTAGATTATTTATAGCCACATATTCCTGAGCTCTTGTTCTTCAAACCTATTTTTTCAGTATAAGGTAGTCATCTTTTTATATTTTATAAACATTACCAATTTCATGTTAGTAATTTCCAGGTAGCTTATGTAGTTTCATATTTGTAGCAAGACAAATCCTGACTGCTCTACTCTTATCTATGCTCTCCTGTCCCCTTTACTTTCCTTCCTCCCTGTTAGTCTTTGAGGATGTGAAACTAGTGCAGTTCTGCTGTGCAGAGGATGGGAAGGATTCAGTGATCCTACAGCCCCGTATGCCTTAGACCGGGGATCTGTAGGGTGCTAGAGAAGATGTTGGATCTGTTGCTGTGTGGAACCACTCTCCCTCACCATCTTGCCAAAAGGTGATGCATACCATATGCAAGGCAACTGCAGCCTGTAGACTAGAGGTGTAGTCACAAGTGGCTTCATTACAGTGCTGTGGTCAAGATGAAGATTCCATGTCTCTTGGCCCCTGCTGACTGCCTTGGAGCACAGTCTGTTGTACTCAGGCTGTGTGCTAGGAGATGCAAAGATACACAAAACATGGAGGAAAAAAACATATAATTTCCTTTATTTTTAAGTTTTAGATTTCTTCTGTTATGATTAGCTTTTTTCATAATTGCAGTCCATGCTGAAGAGGCCATTTAAAATTATGGGGAATTACTGTTTGAGAACTACTCAGAAAGAAATGTCTTTTTGTAGTATTAGATTGTCATCCATTAATAATATGGTCATTTTATTTTAAATACTACAGAGGCCTAGACCTTGTTATGCTCTAAAGACTGGCAAAATTTAATTTATCTCCCTTAAATTTTAGATTACATTCACAGATACATTATGCTCTTATTTGTCAAGTTTCAGACAGGAGCATGTGTTTTACAGTTGTTATAAATTCCTGAAGATAGGGGTTTTTAGAGATAATGCTGACATGCTGTTAACTTTAATGGGTCTATCTCATGTTGTTCTAATAATTCTGCTACCATGCAAATGTTTTTTTTTTCTTTTAAGCAAATAGGAGACTGTGTAGGAAAATAGTTGTTTGTTCAAGAGAAACTGAACGCAATAAATATGTGTATAAATTTTATAGACCACCTAAAAGCATGATTTATTCACTGTCAAAAAGGTAGTTTCTATGCACTTTGTACTGGTAAGTCAGCTGCTTTGGAAAATATGGACTTGTTTCTCACTGGGTAGGTAATTTAGTTACAAAGGATGAATATATAATTTTGAAACAGCTCCTTGCTGTAGATAATAAATTCAAATATTTTAATTGTTTGTAATTAGCAAATTACAAGTTTCAAACTTCTACTGATCAAGTGTGGTGCTAGCATTGAAAAATGGTTTGGCATATCTATAGTTTAAAAATATAGCATGCTATTTTCTGCGCTTTTTCTTCCACTTTCTTGGTGTACAAGCATTTTAATTTTGCACTAAGTCATAGTTTTAATGTAAGTTTCTTCACTTCATTCAATTGTATGTAAAGCTGATCTGTTCAAGCAGCGTCTGTAGACAATGAATGAGAAAGTGATATGACAGCACACTGGTTTTTTTCCCTTATCTGAAGGTTCCATAGAGCCCACGTTAATGACGAGAATAACGTACCTCCAACTGTACATAAGACTTTTTTACACAAAGGGATCTGGTGATGTAAACTCTTAATATGAAGGCATTTTTTAATTGACAGACCCCCCCCATAGAAAATTATAACCTTAACTTACGTATATGACGGAGGTAGATTTTTATTAATGTTCTTTATAGATAAAGCAAATCCTCCTAATTCTGTGACTCTCATCTTTTTTCTTTTCTTCCCCCACCCCCTCACATTTCTCATACTTCTAATCACTCCCCAATTAGTCTGAGTTTTAATATTATTTCTATTCCAAAAGGTGTATGTGATTTTGATTTGTGTGTGTGTATTATAATCTTGTGACATAGAAATGATTGATTCTTTAGTGGTGTTTGTTCCCTTAAAAAAGCAGTACTTGTTCTCTCCTAGACTGTTTTGCTGTTGGGAGTTCTCACTGTATGACTAGGAAAAGTACCACTGCAGAAATAGTTTCTGCAAACAGAAGACCTCTGTGGTACAGATGAATAGGCAGTGGGAGAAGAGCCTGCTGGGCTAAGAGGACATCTATATCACATCATCTTGCATGCTCCAAGTTTTCAACTCCACAGCACAAGCTACAGGAAGAGGCTGGTGGACAAAAGATCTTAGGTAACATTATCAAAAGCTCTGAAATGACTTAGAAACCTAAGTCCCCTTTTAAAAAGTGATTTTCAGTGGAACTTAGGCTCCTAACTCACTTAACTGCATTTGGCATTTTTACCTAAGATCTTGGCCCTAGTGGGGGATGGAGAAGGACAAACAGAGGACAATGAAACTGTAGCGGGGGAAAGTACACTCCCTGAGTGTATTAGTCATACATCCTTCCCTTCCAAATTTTGGACTTCCTGAAAGCATTTCTTTTAAACAACACTGATCAGGCTGGGTGTCCTCAAATTAGATCTTACAAACTTTATTTTGAGTGGTGGAGATGACAAGTTCAGGGTTCGTGTGAATTTCAATACTATTCCCTGCTCAAGAGAAAGAAGAGGACAGTCTTGGATTGTGTCAGCACAATTTTGGTAACAAAGTTTAACTTCCATTTCCTGTGCAGCTGGAGAACAAAGTTCATGAGTTAACAGTGATGACTTCTGTTTTCTCATGGGAGACTGTAAAGCATAAAAAAACCCAGATAGAGAAAATCCAGAAATTGTTCCTTACAAAATCAGATGGTGCAGTGCTACTCCCTTGGCTCTGCAACAACTACCTTATGTTGACGTGCAGTCAGGTGCAACTTCTCTCAATTGTTAACTGCATGCCAGTCAGCATGCTGCAGCATAGGACCGCGTGACTTGCTGCCTTTGTCCCTGTCTCTTTCTTGCTGCTTTCGTTCCCTTTCTTTCTGCCAGGGAACGACCCCACTGACCACGAAATACTAGTTTCCCCAATCCTTCTCCCCTTGAACATACTGAAGAAAACCCATGAGTGAAGGAAGGGGTCAAAGTAGGTCAAATTTTGGACCTTGAAATAGGATGTTTTTTTCTGTAAACGCTGCTATCCCGGTATGGTAGCTCTTTAGGAATATGAATGAAAGACCTTGTCCACACTACAAAGTTAGGTTGATGTAAGTCACCTTGTGTCAACCTAGTTGTGCGTGTGTCTATGCTATAATTTGTCTCCAGCCAATGTAAGTGCTCCATTACAGTTGCGCAGTAGCACCCTCTCCCTGGGTGGCATTGAGCCATGGTCAACATACTGTGGTTGATGCAGTGAGAGTATAGACACACATGGCCTATATTGATCTGGTTACGATTGTGAACTCCACTGCCCAGGGGTCACTGAGACTGGAAGCCACCCTCTCTCACTTTATAAATCCTTTGTATTTTTGAAATGCCTTTTCCTGATTGTGCAGCTTGACAAGCACACCTATCAGCTCTGGCCTTGTGTGCAGCTGCCCAACTGACCATGGCAGCTATATGATCCAGTTGTGCTCCTGCTTGAAGTAGAAAGCGGGTATTGGATCTCTTGGGCCTGAGAAAAGAAGATACTCTGCAAGCTAACCTACGGAGCAGTCATGGAAATGTGGAAATCTATGAGCAGATTGCCTGGGGGATGCAGGCAAAGGAGTGTGACAGGGATCAGCAGCAGTGCCATGTGAAAGCAAAGGAACTGCTGCAGGCATACCAGAAGGTCAGGAAGGCCAATTGTTGATCTAGTACCAAGCCACAGACCAGCCGCTTTTACAGCTGAGATGCATGCCATACTTGGCAGAGACCCCACAGTGCACACCTGCGTGAAGGCTGTTGTGAACTGTCAGGAGAAGGAGGAACAGGAGGAGGAGGATGGGGGTCATGAGACTGGGGTGTCCAGCTATGCCACCAGTGAGGATTTATTTAAGACTCCACTGCAGTGTGGTCAGTCCTGGTCGCTGAGCACGATGCTGGGGATTGAACCTTGGGTAAGCGTGTAAATGCATTTCCCATTACAATATTTAAATATAGAGATGGTGCCCGACCTCAGTGTAACAGTACGCATATAGTGACTTTTTATTAATTTAGTCGTACTAGAAGACGCAACAGACAGAAGTAGGGTTATCTGTTTTTCCTTCCGTTGTAGAGTTAGTTGGGGAGGCAGAGCACTTTATGTGCAGAGAGATGTTCCTTGAATCCTCCTTAAAAACTTTCGTGGAAGTACCCTGAAATCCTCTCCCAAAGTTTTCTAGACCTGGCAGTCTTATTTTTTCCCCCACGGTAGGTCAGTTTCCCACACCAGTCAGCAGTGGTTTTAGCATTACTCCTGGGGAAATTCTGCGCAACTGCAGTGCAGCAGAAAACCCCCCGCATCCCCCTCCCTCGCAGATTTCCTTTGCTTTCTTGCAGAAAATGGTTTCTGTGGGGAAGCAAAAAGAAGCTGCATCAGTACTCACTCACTACTCTCTGGCAGCTCAGCAGCTCAGATGCATCTGTTGGGAAGCCGGGGGAGAGGTAAATCACTGGGGGAGAGAGGTCTGGGGATGCCCTGGCTGCCCAGGGACATTAGTCCCAGCTGGGGGGCTGGGGGAGGATGGTGCTCCCCATCCCCCTCTCCTGCATGGAGCAGCCAGGGTTGGGTCAGGTCAATCCCCAGAAACTTCCCCTGGCTGCAGGAAGCTCTGCACCGTGGGAGGGGATGAGGCTTGGGGGGAGGGGCGGGGATGGTGTTCCAGGTCAGGGGTGGGTGGGTGCAGGGGGTTCCAGATGCACAGGGGCTGGGTGGACAGGGGCCGCAACTCCCCGTACATTGACCCCTTCCCCCACCCACACACCTGGAACCTCCTCCCTGCACCAAGCCTCACCCCCTGCATCAGGAGCCCCCCTACACCCCACTGAGCCCC